GCTCATGACGATGAGCTGGGCTGTCACCGCTTGGCCGCCGGTGGGGGCTTGGGAGGCCTGCGCGCTACTTCGTTCATCTCCTCTGACAGGTCACTGCTTCGAGACACTTCTGGCGCACCTGCCTCGGCACTTTTGTGTCCTCATTCCGGTTCGTTTTTTTGCGTGAACTTTTCCTGGCGCCGTGCACGCTGCTTCTCCCCTTACCAGCAGCCCAAATGCTCACGACGATGAGCTGGGCTGTCACCGCTTGGCCGCCGGTGGGGGGTTTGGGAGGCCGCGTCACACACAGACACCCACACACTCCCTCAACTTACACGAACACACACATACGCAGACTCATTTCCACACGGACATAGCCACACGCACAGAAACCCACACACTACCTCAACTCACTCGACTTCACACTTCTCACTGCACACTTACCGGATAACTCGCACTCTGACTTCCTACGTGATGAAAAATGCTTTCGGGCCACTCGTCGTCTAGTTTGTCTTTACTCAAGCAAAAGGGCACAATTGCAAGGACGATTTAACCTAGGCTGAGGTGTCGGCAGCAAGCAGGCGTGCTAGGTCTCTGCACCGCTGCTGCTCCTGGCTCACAAGCGAGATCTTTGCATGGAGCAACTTTGCTTGTGGAACCAAATTGGCTCACCCACTTCAATCCAGGCCTCCCAAAGTGCGGGTGCAGTTGCATCAATGATAAAAAGGACAGCATAGTGTGGAAGGTTGCCACCTGATTCCGTTGGCAATCGGGCTCACTGACTTTAGATAAAGAAGACTCCCTAGATGGTGGCGCTCACATTGCCAAGTGGATCCCAAGATTTGGCGACTCGAAGACTCGAATACTGTTTTGAACAATATGTTGCAAAAATAAATTTGAAATGAATTCGATGTAGCCTAACAAGTAACGGGTCGCCTAACAAGCAGCTACTAAGCTGACAAGTAGGTCAGCTTAGTAGCTACTAGATGCCCTATAACGCATTCTCTTCTCAGGCTTCTTCAAGCAAGACCGCCACCTGGGGCAAGTTTCCTTGAAGAAGCCTGAGCATGAGTGATTTGGTTCCGATATTTTTTAGGACAACTTAAACATTTCAAAACAAAACAATGCAATGTGCTGGGATCAGGAGACAGCTCCGATCAGGCCCTAGGTGTAGAGTCACAGAATTCGGTTCGAACAAAGTTGCGATCGGTGATCCGGGCCTTCTAAGAGAAGTCAGAACCCTATAGATCCTAGACTCCAACAGTACAAAAGATTCCAGCTGGGCATAGAAACGAAAACAGTTTCAATCCTGCAACAAGTGTCGAAGCTCTACATAGATACATAGAGAGACAGATGGGTGAGTTTTAAAAGAGAGATAGATGGATGAGGGCACCTCGTCACATAAGCATGTTAGCTGAATGCTATTCAGTAGTGGGGGTACAACCAGCACGCAGCCTGTGTTTTTTCATGTCTGAAGACAAACAATACAAGTGCGTTCAAAGCCGCAAATATATAATACGGCTTAACAAAAAAACGCCAGCAGCAGCGGCAACTTGATGCGTCCTTTTCCCGCCGAATCTAAAAAGTCTTTGCCGCCAGATTTGAGCCATGGGAAACAAAGGAGACACAGACACAGGAACACAAAGCAGAATCATCTCAGCCCAGCATCCAAACGAGCCATCCAGCATCCAAAAGGGCTATGGAGAAATCATCTTGGCCCAGGAACGTTTCTGTGCACGAATTGAGAACCCCTCGCTCGCAGCAAAGCTGTTTGTGGAAAAATAATGAAAAGTAGTCTAGCTCAGGCTACTCCAAAGTTCAGCTAGTTTCCAGGCAGAGCTACTTCGTTCACACAACTAAATATGAAAATGATGCACAACATATATATATATATATATGTGTGTGTGTGGGGGGGGACCTTTACGTATAATATGACGACCTCTCACACCTCAGCTTCATCCCAACTGCTGTACTCTACTCCAATTATTCTAAAAAACGATTGTGCCAAAGATGCAATGAGACTTCGATAATATACCTTGCCAAATAAACGTAGAGCCTGGTGGGATACAAACAGGAGAAGTGGTATAGGGTAGGGTAAAAAATAAAGCAGAAGCAAACACAGGTTGATAAACTACATATATATATAACAATATGTATATAATATATATAATAGAATATATAATTACTGTAGTAGTCCTGGTTTGTGGTTGACAAAGTACAAGGTAGTTCTGGTCGGCTGTGTAAAGATCTGATCTTGGCTCTAACCACTATTGGAAACCATTGTAAAGATGCAACTCGAGTTTACATGAGTGTGTCAAAGACTATGGCAGGATAAGATAGACTAGGCTAGTTATCCAGGCAGAATAGCGCAGAGTAGAGTAGAGTAGCATACATACAGGCAGAATACACCCATGAGATTATTGTGGCCAAAATTGAACAATATCATGGGTGTGCGATCCTTGTTGAGTCCTCCATTGCATTACAAGCATAAAAGTTAGGTTGTAGGCTTACTTTTCGTCTGTCACTCCCTCCCTCTCCTGTCCTAGGTTGAAACCTTTTGCGCACTTGCACGTTCACATCTTTTCATGTTCTGTATCATTCAATATCGGTCAGAAGAATAGGCAACGTATATAAGAGTGAAAAAGTATGAGCATGTCCAGGGCATCCTGCAGAGCGTTAGGGTGCATCATTTGCTTGCTGCTTGCAAAGCCTTTAGGTGCATAAATACGAAAAGGAGCTTATGAAAGAGTTTACATACTATTTGTATTAGGGGGTGCTTTCTCACTGATTATCGGCTAACTAGCCCACTCCTCACCATTCAGCTTCGTCCCAACTGCTGTACTCTACTCCATTCTAAAGACGATTGTGTCAAAGATGCAATGAGACTCGGATATATAATATACTGGTGGGATACAAACAGGAGAAGTAGCACAGGGTAGGGTAATGTACATCAATGCAAGATGAAGCAGAAGCGAACACAGGTTGACAAACTACATATCATACATAGTAGTCCAGTCTATGGTGAGGGGTTTATAAAAAAAAAGTTTGTGTGAAAGGGTGTGCACAAATACGATGGGCCTTGGCAGGGTGAGGGGTTTATAACATGATGGGTTTTTGTGGGAGGGTGTGCGCAAATACGATGGGGGTGAGGGGTTATACAATGGGTTTTTGTGTAGGGCGTGCACAAATACGATGGACTTTTAGAGGGTGAGGGGTTTATACAATGGGTTTGTCCAACCTCTGTGTTTTGTGTGCTTAAATTTGGTCATGGGATGATGGCCTATAGCAAATCGCCAGTAGCCTATAAATGAGTAGATCTACCAAATCGTGGGGGATGTACAATAGGCATAGTGTAATTCACAACCAGCCCTTATAAAGCAATAAAAAAGAGAGAAGTAAAAAAAGATTAGCCAACTCATAGTGATTGGGTTCTGAAAAAGATTGCTTAAACGGCAATTATATTCTGTTCTCCCTCTTCACCCTTTTCTCCCTCCACAATGAAGACAAATGATACTTAGTACAGTATTCTTTTCTCCCTCTTCTCCATTCACACTGATAATAAATCATTATAGTTCCTAGGGATTTGGACTTTGGCAGCCCACCAACACAAAAACAAATCACACATTGTGACATTGAACATATAGTGATTGTTTAAAATAGATTTACAAAAGCCATGGAGCAATGGAATGTAACATGTAACATATGCCACAATTATAAAAGGTTTGCATTGTTCACTGCAGGCATGTGTTGTTTGTTTGTGTGAGTTTTTGTTTTGGTGAGGGTGAGGGGTTGTGATGGCTTCTGTAGCTTTGTGTTTATTGATTGTATGCTTTCCCTGTATGGTTCTGGCTGTGTTTCTTTTGGGGGTGATGTGCACAAATACGATGGGCCTTGGCAGGGTCAGGGGTTTATAAAATGGGTTGTCGTGAGAGGGGTTTACAAAATGAGTTTGTCCAACCTCTGTGTTTTGTGTGCTTAAATTTGGTCATGGGATGATGGCCTATAGCAAATCGCCAGTAGCCTATAAATGAGTAGATCTACCAAATCATGGGGGATGTACAATAGGCATAGTGTAATTCACAACCAGCCCTGACAAAGCAATAAAAAAGAGAGAAGTAAAAAAACATTAGCCAACTCATAGTGATTGGGTTCTGAAAAAGATTGCTTAAACGGCAATTATATTCTGTTCTCCCTCTTCACCCTTTTCTCCCTCCACAATGAAGACAAATGATACTTAGTATTCTTTTCTCCCTCTTCTCCATCCACACTGATAATAAATCATTCTACTGTAGTTCCTGGGGATTTGGACTTTGACAGCCCACCAACACAAAAACAAATCACACATTGTGACATTGAACATATAATGATTGTTTAAAATAGATTTTCAAAAGCCATGGAGCAATGGAATGTAACATGTAACATATGCCACAATTGTAAAAGGTTTGCATTGTTCACTGCAGGCATGTGTTGTTTGTTTGTGTGAGTTTTTGTTTTGGTGAGGGTGAGGGGTTGTGATGGCTTCTGTAGTTTTGTGTTTATTGATTATAATTATACGCTTTCCCTGTATGGTTCTGGCTGTGTTTCTTTTGGGGGTGATGTGCACAAATACGATGGGCCTTGGCAGGGTCAGGGGTTTATAAAATGGGTTGTCGTGAGAGGGCGTGCGGAAATACGATGGACTTTTGGAGGGTGAAGGGTTTACAAAATGAGTTTGTCCAACCTCTGTGTTTTGTGCGCTTAAATTTGGTCATGGGATGGTCTGTTAATGATGGCCTATAGCAAATCGCCAGTAGCCTATAAATGAGTAGATCTACAAAATCATGGGGGATGTGCAATAGGCATAGTGTAATTCACAATCAGCCCTTATAAAGCAAAAAAGAGAGAAGTAAAAAAAGATTAGCCAACTCATAGTGATTGGGTTCTGAAAAAGATTGCTTAAACGGCAATTATATTCTGTTCTCCCTCTTCACCCTTTTCTCCCTCCACAATGAAGACAAATGGTACTTAGTATTCTTTTCTCCCTCTTCTCCATCCACACTGATAATAAATCATTCTACTGTAGTTCCTGGGGATTTGGACTTTGACAGCCCACCAACACAAAAACAAATCACACATTGTGACATTGAACATATAGTGATTGTTTAAAATAGATTTACAAAAGCCATGGAGCAATGGAATGTAACATGTAACATATGCCACAATTGTAAAAGGTGTGCATTGTTCACTGCAGGCATGTGTTGTTTGTTTGTGTTTATTTTTTGCTGATTGTTTTGGTGTAGTGTTTTCCGTTTTTTCGGAAAATGTTTGCGGTTTGTGAAAAGAGGACTGGAAAAGTCATTTTGTATATCACCAAGATCCCCATTTTATAAGGAATTCCTCAACGGGTATCATTTTATAAGGAGTTCCTCAAGAGGTATCATTTTATAAGCAAACAAGTGGGTGGATATATTTAGGTTTTTTTGGCAGGCGGCTAAAAATCAAAATCCCTTAGGCTCCTAAATATCCAGCTGCTATATTGAATTTTGAAAGTAAAAATAAACAAAAGAAAAATAGTTTTATAGATGAGTTTAAAAAAACGAAACTACAAAAAGACTAACTCCAGGTTCCTAGGTTTTCATGTATTTAGAAATGCTTGTAAAAACTAAATACTTATTCTTTTTAGTTTTGCGACCCTTAAAAAAATAAATAAGTAAATAATTAAATAAACAAATGAGTAATAATAATAAAACTAAATCCTTCAGGTTTGGAGGTGT